TGGCCACTCGCAAATTGTATTTTAACCAGTTTCCACAGAGGAAAGGTCCCGTTATAGTTTCTAGAAGATCACTTCATCCCGTCATCATGTGGTATTTGTGTAGAATTTGAGGCTGGAAGTAGAACAAGACACAGCTGAGGGAGATGCTCTAGTGACCATCTCCCCAAGGGACACCAGGTTCAACAGCTATCCACTAGTCACCTTCACAGGAGCTACAGAATGCAGCTGTGGGGTCATAGCGCCGGTGTTTCTAACAAAGCAGAAAGAGTTGCCCAGGTCACCACTCCCCCACGCCCAAGAAGCACATTGTAAAGAGAGATTGCCATAGCTCCTGCTTGGGAAAGGAAGGGAAATCACATTAAATTCTTAGTCTTGTAGCCCAGTGCCAGGCCCACTCCAACAGAGTCCAGAGTGAGATCTGGCTCCTGATACCAAGACCAATGAAGGGGGAGAAAAATTCATGCTAACATGCTTGAACATAGATACAAAAAAAAAGCCTTAATGGAGTTTCTTCCAGTGATGCAATGTGGTTGAACATACCTAAATCAATTTGTGACAGACTGCATCAAAAGAATGAAGGGGGAAATGATATACTCATCTACATAGATGCAGAAAATGTCATTTCATGGAAATTCAACACCCTTTCCTGGTAAAATCTCTGAACAAGTTAGGGAAAAGAAGCATACTTCAACATAATCAAAATGCTATATTTAAAGCCAACAGTTGGCATAAACCGAATGGGAAAAACATAGGTATTCTGTCTATAACCTCTGAAATAAGAGAAGGATGCCTGCCATCTCCAGTTATAAAAGCATTTCTCAAAGCCAAGACATACAAATGGTCAACAGGAACATGAAACAATTCTTAACATCACAAATCAATAGAGAAATTCAAATCAAAACCATCGTGAGATATCATCTTAATCCATTTGTATTGGATAATATCAAGAGACTAAACATAATCAATACTGGCAAGGATGAGGAGAAAATGGAAGGACCCCTGCATGCTGTTGGCAGAAATGCCAGTTCGCACAATCATGGAAGACAGAACGGCCGTGTTCCCTGGGCCATCATTTTACTGCCCCATGTTCCCATATACACTATGTGTCAGCAAAGTTATCATTTCTTAATCAGCCAATAACGCCTTCAAGTGGGCAACACAGGCATGGTCAGACATTTCCCAATTGGTTAGAGACCACCAATGGGAAAGGACTTTGGCAAGTCTATGCCCAGTGAAGAAGCAGTCCTGGAAATTTTAAAAACCCAACATTTCTGGAAACCTCAGTGTCTCTCTCCTTTCAGGAGACACCCCATCTGCAAGATCTCTCCCGGGAGGCATGTGCCCCTTCTTTGCACATTCACTTGCTAACTTCACAAAAACGAAAATAAATAAATACTTCTGTCTGAAGCCAATTCCAAACTTTTTATTTCTGTACTGAAGAACACACCAAACTTTGCAATAACAACTAGTGGGCATATATCCAAGATACATGAAAGCCTTGTGTCAAAAACACATTATAGTGCTATGCAATAGAGGAAAGAACGTGGAAGCAACATTAAGTATCCCTTGATCAATGAATGAGCCAAAATGTGGTGTGTATGAATTTCTCTTTTTAAAGGAAAGCCTCAATTGCATTTTTCAAAGTTTTCACCATAAGGAAAATGTGACACATATTTGAAGAGATAAAAATTTTTACCCTTTTGGACATTACACAAAGTGTATAAATCTAAAAAAATCACAGGATACTAAATAAATATGTATATATATGTGTGTCAATTTTAAAAATAAATACTATTTGCACATACTATCTATAGCTCATAAATTAGGAAAAAATCTTAAATTTTTATTAAAATTTATTTATTTGGATGGGAGTATAACAGAGACAAGGTGGGGAGATAAGACAAGCTAATAGCTATTTAGCCTCAGGTCCCTGTAGGAATGAGAAAGGTGAGGGATCTTATTTTGAAAAATGTACAAAGTTCTTGCTCCTGCCCAGAGACTTCGCCTAAAAAGGCAGCATACCAACCCTACTCCTGAGTTTCTACTTTCATCATGAGAATAGCAAGGTGGCAGTGATCCCATCAGTTTGAGTTTAGTTTAACATGGGAATAGAAATAAGAGATTACCAACCATGGCCTTTGGATGGCTTCCCCCCTCTGCCTTTGGCTATACCATGAACCAGATAGACAGGATTACTTTCCTTGTCTTCTGATAGGTTTTGTCCCTTCCTTCTTGTTGATTGTTAGCTGTTATTCTAACCAGATTATGCTTGAAAGACTCCACTTCCACCATCATATTCTTGGGTCTTCCTCTCTTAGAGCACTCCTCTGGACTGCTATGGCAGGAGAATTTTAGCTTCAATAAATTTTGCTAGTTCATTGATTTGTCCACATGGGAATTCTTTCATATGAAAGAAGAATTGAGTGTGTGATGGCCCAGTGGCTAAATTTTCACCTTGCATGTGCCACGATCCCACATGGGCACCGGTTCAAGCCCCAGCTGCACCAGTTCCCTTCCAGCACCATACCCGTGGCTTGGGAAGGCAGTGGAGGATGGCCCAAAACCTTGGGACTCTGTACCCATGTGGGAGAGCCAGAAGAAGCTCCTGCCTCCTGGCATTAGATTGGCCTAGCTCTGGCCCTTGCAGCTGCTTGAGAAGTGAACCAAAAGAGGACAGATCTTTCTCTCTGTCTCTTCTTCTCTCTTTCAATTTCTCTTTCCAATAAAATTTTTTAAATCTTTTTTATAGTCTTTTTTTTTGAAAGTCCGATATACAGAGAGGAGGAGAGACAGAGAGGAAGATCTTCCGTCCAATGATTCACTCCCCAAGTGAGCACAATGGCCGATGCTATCCCAATCCGAAGCCAGGATCCAGGAACTTCTTCCAGGTCTCCCACACAGGTGCAGGGTCCCAAATTTTTGGGCAGTCCTCGACTACTTTACCAGGTCACAAGCAGGGAGCTGGATGGGAAGTGGAGCTGCCTGGATTAGAACCAGCGTCCATTATGGATCCCGGAGCGTTCAAGGCGAGGATTTTAGCCGCTAGGCCACACCGCGGAGCCCTATTGTCTTTTGATACAGTTTAGTTGGGGTCTCCCTTCCCTCTCTCTATGTTCCCTCCCCTCCGCTTTGTTCTCCCTTTCAGACTTACAACGGGTGTCTTTTGTGAATTTTCACAAGTCTATCATGTTGCCACTGGGGTGCCTCCCAACAATGTAGGAGATTATCAGTCATGTTTTTGTGAGTCCATCCTTTTTCTGCATGTATAAGATTTATTTCTCTTTGTATCTACCTATGAACATATTCATTTCCATTACATTTTCATGATGTATCCCCTTGAGTACAATGCACCAAGGGTGGGGAGGAGGGGAGAAAAAGAAAAAAAGAGATTCAAAATACATTCGTGCTCTTTTCCCTGTAACAGGAAAGGCACACACAGCTTCCATCTGCTGGTTTATTCTCCAAACCTGGACTCGGTCAAAATGAGGATTTGGGGACTCCATCTGGGTTTCCCACATGTGTGGCAGGGTCCGAGTACTTGGACCATCATTGCTGCCTTCCCAGACACATAACGTGAGAAGTCAAAGGAGACAGTAGGCAGTTAGGGTCTCTGGTCCCTGATGAAGTTGCCTTTAAAATATAAAATCTGTGCTTTCCCCTTTCCTGTACCCTTCCTGGAGCAGATTTTCCCTCGGGAGGCGGGGGGAAGGGGAGGGAGGAGAGGGATGTGGCAGGGGAGAGCAAAGGGACAGAATCAATGTATCAATCCCCATGTCTTAGAGCTGTTGTCACTGTAAGGTTATGATTCTTGTTCAGAACCAGAAATCCACACAGAATAAAGTTCAAATTAAAACAAGATTTACTGAGTCTGATATGGTAGCATAGTGGCTGGAGTCCTCACCTTGCAAGTGCTGGGATCACATACAGGTGCAGGTTCTAATCCCGGGGACTCTGCTACCCATTCAGCTCCCTGTTTGTGGCCTGCTAAGCAACAAAAAATGACCCAAAGCCTTGGGACCTTCACCTACATGGGAGACCTGGGGGAGGCTCCTGGCACCTGGCTAGAGATCAGCTAAACTCCAGCCATTAGACTGCTTGAGGAGTAAATCAGTAGACGGAAGACCCTCTTCTCTGTCTCTCCTCCTCTCTGTATATCTGACTTTCCAACAAAGATAAAATAAACTTTAAAAAATAAACAAGCTTTATTGGGAGTACACCCAATTGAGGTTCACTGATCCTATAATGACAGTGGGTCAGCGAAGTCACACCAGAGTATAAGACGGGTCTTTTTAAGTAGGAGGCTGTAAAGGAAGGGTTTGGGGGACAAATGAATGAGCCTTATATGGTGCTATAGAATGCAATAGAGTGCAATAGGTTCTTTTCAACCTTGGTGAATCCTTACGTCACTGCTAAGCTGAGGAGGGGGCTGTATTCTGCAGGTGCAGCCTTATCAGCCACCTTTCTCAGCCTCATCTTGGGCTGCCCCTCACATATCCCAAATGGACCTTACAGTCACAAATGTAAGCCAGGAGACTGGCCCACACACTAATCCCATCCCTGGTCACTGTCCAAAAGAATGGCACCTTAGTTTTCAGATTATTGGAATGGGAGAAGGAAGCCACAAGTCTTATTCTTTTATTTCTGGGTAAGGAGTTAGACATTACTATCCATTGCAAATCATTTTTTTGTTTTTTGTCCTTGGGGTGACTCACGTGCACTCCCTCCTGGAGGTGGTGCATAAAAGATATCATTTTCACCATTTCCTGGGGTCTTTCCTCCCTTGTAGACCCCTCCTGTCATTACAACAGGAGTCCCTCTTTCTTCCTTTCCTAAATAAATCATGCTTTGCAAAGTAGAGTTTTCTGCATGAAAATTTTTCTTTCATGTGAGACAAGAAATGAGGTTGCTGCTGTCTTGCAACAATAACAGGAAGCCAAGATTGGAAGCAACACCCCAGAATAGCTGTGAGCATAACAAGTAGCCAAAAAGCACATTGCACCAAGACCCCCACCCTGAACTCTTAGATGTTGTTGTCAATCAGACCTCCCAGGGATTCAGACATGTAGAAGACACTATGAAAGAAGGTGAGAGCATCTGTGTTCAACAGGCACTCAGTGGGACATCATGCTGCTTTAGTGCCTCTGTGCCTACGTGGAGAGCTTGTGTATAATCTGAATGAGACACTTGCCTTCCCCGGATTTGCTTAATTTAAAAAATGACTCTTACTGCAGTTCCCTAATATTGGCACCAAATCAATTGAGGACATTTCTCAGAGATAAACACATTGATGTATTTCTAGGAGCAGTTAATAGCTGGTTTGCTAGGTATCTTCAATACGGGATTGTAAATACGGCTGTTTCAGGATTTTCTAATTGTCTTGTCCCTTTTAGTTAGTCTCCAGGTAATGTGACTGGTGTTACCAATCTAACTACTCCAAAAAGTCTATTTTACAGTTGTCACAATTGTCAGTAAATACTGAACAGACTATGACCAACAGTATTCAAATACCACAAAATTGTCTTTCTTGTCTGAACTTTGAATCATTTGAAATTGATCCTCCCAGATTCTAAAGATACCCGCCAAGGAGTATGCTTAAGATACAAAGAAACGCATTCAGATTCAAAACGCACACAGGCTTCCTTTAAATCAACTGCCTTAAAACAAACAAAATATTCGAGGGGGGGGGGGAGGAAAGTAAAAGTGAAACCAAATTCTCCACTTGCTGCTTGCTCTGATAATTACAGCCCCCCCCCCCCACCTTCTCACATAAGGAACCACACCCTGGGCAGGAGCCTGAGTCCACAGCCTACCAACCTCAGTGAAGGAACCCACTCCACCAGATCTCTCTGGAGCAGCTGGGTGATAGGAACTTGGCTTCAAGCAGACAAAAGGTAGGTAAAGAACAAAGTGGGAAATAGACAAAATGGTCATAGGGAACTATGAGGGACAAGGGGATTAAGATATGCAAAGGGATCAACCAATTTCTGCATGGCTCCATCTGCAGCCGCCATCACAGGTCAGGTCTTGGGCAAGGTGAGAGAACTGAGGAAGCCCTGGCTAGGGAAAGAGGTCTTTGTTGGAAAGAGCCCTCGGGCACAGGCAGCAAGGGAACTGGGGCCAGGAGGAGCGCATGCTCCAGGAGAGGGTGGCCAGCCCAGGGACAGGGAGCAGAGACCCTGGGGAGGGGCGGCCCAACGAGACAGGGATGGTGGGGGAACTGCCCTGGAGAGAGGTAGGGGGGAACCAGTGAGCCTCCCCCCGGGGTGGGAGTGGGAGGCAGGACCCATAATGGCGGGCGAAGAGAACCTTTTAGAGGAATATGGCAGAGAGGAGGAGTAGGAGTTTGGTGGTAAGAATGGAGCCAGCGAGGTAGAGTGGGAGAAATGCTAAGTGGGTGGCCAAACTTGGACTAAGGGCAGAGAAGGGGGAACGGCAGTTGAGCTTCAAGGTACCAGCAGGAAAGGGTCTCTTCCCTGTGGTTGGGTTTGGGTGGGTAAGGAGTCCAGCTGCGTGTGGACTGGAGGGAGTGGACTGGAATTGGAACCCTGGAAAAAATTCGGGGGCTAGCCAAATTGTGTGTGGGGGAGGGTTGTCTTGGTTGGGTGAGATGTGTAAGCAGGAACTTGATGTTTTCTCAGAGTGAGGGGATGCGTGGGGGAGGAGAGGTTAACTCGGATTGTTGAGAGAGGTCATTCGGGAGTGCGGGGAGAGATGATTGGAGAGTGATTCTGAGTCATTTGTGTGGGTGGAATTCAGAAGGAGGGGAGGACTTCTGTGCCATAGCGATTTGTGGAGGAGAATGAGAGTGGTAGAGGAAGGAGGATGCCTATGGAGCAACGCTTATAAGGCCAGTGAACTCTGGAACACTCCTTGGGCCACGGTAAGGGTAGGGGATGGGGACAGCTGTGAAGAAAAGAAATTGAAACACTAGTTTAAAACAAACAAACAAAAACAAAACAATACAAAAAACGGCCCAAGTGTGGTAGCCTAGTGGCCAAGGTCCTTGCCTTGCATTCACCAGGATCCCATCTGGGGGCAGGTTTGTGTCCTGGCTGCCCCACTTCACATCCAGCTCCTTGCTTATGACCTAGGAAAGCGTTCGAGAATAGGGACCTTGCACCCAAATGGGAGACCCACAGAAGTCTCTGGCTCCTGGCTTTGGATCAGTTCAGCTCTGGCCATTGTGACCACTTGATGAGTGAACCAGAGGACAGAAGTTCTTCCTCTCTGTCTCTCTTCTCTGCATGCCTGACTTTACATTAAAATTAAATAAATCTTTAAAAAAAGAAGGAAAGTAAAACAGGCTATGCAAAGCACACAAATGTAAATGTGGTGTCATCATTTAAAAAAATCCTCAAATCAGAGAGAAGAGGGAATATTGGAAAATATTATTGCAAAATGGGGAGGAGGTCTTTTGCAATAAGGAAATCAAGCCAAGCTTCAAGGACTCCAAAGACACAGCAATCTCCACATCCCCACCCCAGCCATGGAGGACAGAAGCAGGGCCGAAAAGAGCTCAGTGAGGAGAGAGTGGGGTAATGAGGGGATGTTTTCCTGAGGTCAGCACACTCTTGGGAAGGGTCGCAGTGGGGACAGGAGAAAAGTCAAAGTTCAGAACACTGAAGAAAGGAGAAATTTAGTATTTTGTGAAGCTCACAAGCCCTTGCTTCTGTCAACTGAGGGAAATAAACACTTCTAATCTTTTACCAGGCAAAGCATAGGAACTGAAAGATTTCCTAAGTCACTTGTCATGAGCTTAAAAGAGACATGAGGCTTGCTTCCCTGAGTCACCTGGGGAAGAGTGATTCTTTGCAGCATTATCTGTTCCAGACAGAAGAAGACCACAGCAAAGGCTCAGGTAAAGTTGAGTATTGTCAATTTGACCCAAGTGAGCAGCAGATACTATTGAAAGCGCAGAGATCTAGTAACAGGACTTGGAGGGTTAATGGAAGGCTTCAAAAATAAAAAGGTGACCTGGGTTAAGAGTGTGGATCCTCACACAAGGAAGGTGGGAATGGGCTCGTGTAAAATTATGTGCAAGGTATACATACTTAGTGTTAGAGGGAAGATGGTAGAGGATGGCTATTGCTTTCATATTTATTTATTTAGGAAAGGCAGATTTACAGACGGAGAGAGAGATCTTCCATCTACTGATTCTCTTTCCATGTAGTCATTACTGTGCAAGGCCATAGCCAGGATCCAGGAACTCCACCTGGATTCTGAAGTGGTTCTTGCAAGAAGGAATTCTTCAACCTACTGTGCCACAAAACTGATCACAGAGGGTGCTTCTTAGGGATGAAAGTTAGATGGTGAGAAAGAGAAAAAGAATGGTTATGCAGGGAATCACACAGGTTGGTTGCTGCCAGATAATAGGAAGGTTTGAATGCCAGGGCTGCTATTTGCTTTATCATAAACCAATACAGAGTATTAGGTTCAATGAAATAAGCCAGTCACAGAAAATAAATACTGCTCGCTCACACTCATGTGGAAGTTAGAAAACATCAGTCTGAACATAGAACAGTGAATACTAGAGATTGAGAATAAAGGGCTAAAGAAATATTAAATGATGGATACCAGAACAGTTAGACAGAAGGAATAAATTCCTAGTATTACCCAGCACAGGGAGCTAGTAGTTTACAATAAATAATTCTGTTTTCTGACCAAATAGAGAAGTTGTGTGCATTTGTTTAAGTGTCACCCTGTGTGACATATCCCTCAGTACATAATTTTTTATTTTTATTTTTTCCTTTTATTTTTTCCTGCTATATAATTTTTTAAAGATTTATTTATTTTTATTGGAAAGTCAGATATACAGATATGAGGAGCAACAAAGATCCTTTGTCCTCTGACTCACTCCCCAATTGGCCACAATGACCGGAGCTGAGCCAATCCAAAGCCAGAAGCCAGGAGTCTTCCCCCAGGGTCTCCCATGTAGGTGCAGGGTCCCAAGACCTTGGGCCATCCTCCACTGCTTTCCCAGGCCACAAGCAGAGAGTTGGATGGGAAGCAGAACTGCCAGGGTTAGAACCTGGCATCCATATGGGATCCCGGCGAGTGAAAGGTGAGGACTTCAGCCACTAGGCTACAGAACTGAGGCCTCCTAGTACATAATTTTTTTATTGTTTTTTTGATACAGTTTAGTTGGCACTGGGGTCTCCCTTTCTGCTTCCCCAACCATAATTTTTAATCAAGAGAAGTTCATGTTTAAAGAGCTGGAACACCTAACTAACCTTACCCTTACTTCCTACATTGAATACAGTTGTTGAACCGTCATGTTGTAACCCGTACTTGTTTACAATTAAAATGTAAATGAGAAAGACTCACAGCTGTATGTTGTATGCTGTAGTATATGATATATGGTATGATGGTTATGATGCCACTTAGGGTGCCTGCATCCTATATCAGTGGACCTGATTTTAAATCCTGGTTCTAGTGTCAATTCCAACTTCTTACAAAATCATGCCCCCTAGAAAGCAACCAATGATGACTCAAATAGTTGGACCCCAGCCATTTATGTGGAATGCCTGGACTGAGTTCCTGGATCTTTCAGAGGTTTTGTTGTTGCTGTTGTTGTTGTTGTTGTTGTTGTTGTTGTTGTTTTGGCTGGGGGGTGCAATTCCATCAGTAGGCATTTGGAGAATTAACCATCAGATTCATATTCTTTCTATCTATTTATCTATCTATCTATCTATCTATCTATCTATCTATCTTTGTGTATATGTGTGTCTAGGTAAATAAGCAAAAATTTTTAAATCCTAGAAAAAAATTGAGCAAATAACTAAACATAGAAAGTTAGGATGAAATATAAATAAAATATTGACATAGGTATTTAACATCCTTAAAGAGAAGCTTCAAATATGAAAGGATATTACTAGGTAGACTGGAGGAGGCATGATCTAAGAGGAAAATTAAAATTACATAAAAACAAAAAAGCTAAAAGCACCATTCTGAAATGATATTCCTTTCAGTTATATTTGCATGTCTGTACTCTGCCTTTCCCATTCAAATCTAAGCTCCCCAAGTGCAATGATCTTGTCTAGCAACATTTCCTAAACACTGAACATTCTCAACAAATCTATGCAATAAATTCTGACACTTCAGCATGTTTCTGTGAAATCTCTAGTGCACATTTTCTGTGAAGTTGGGTGATAGACACAGTATCAGATACATGAAAGGAGAGAGTCAATAAAGCAGAGCGCTTGGGACAGGTGGAACAAAAATGGAGGAGGGAATTCTAGACCAAGTAATTTGAATATATTGGGCAATAGGAGAACATTTTTAGAAAAATATGAGGGCATAATGTGACAACCTAATGAGAAATTAATAGGAAGAATTCAAAATCAATGTAATCAAGAAACATTTATTTACCCATATATGTAGATTTAAAATACATTTTTGAGAAATCTACCAATTATATAAATAGAAAGAATACTATATATATATATATATATATATAGAGAGAGAGAGAGAGAGAGAGAGAGGATCCAGTTTGACAAAAATGGGAAGACATGGGCATATGCTTTCACATAAAGTGAGGGAATGTAAGATATTTAAAGTATCCTCAAATATCCTAAAAGCTGGGCAAGATTCAGAGATCGGAGTCTCTACTGCAAAGAAGCTAGGGACATCCTGCATTGGGGAAGCAGGGGGTGAGAGATCACCCCTACCACCCAGTAGTCTGTATGTGAACTTTTTAGTTATATCTAAGATGTAAAATAACACAAAACTAACAACAAAAAAAGCATAGACACCTGAATAAATTTGTGTGCATGTGGGAAACTTTTCAAGAGAGTGCAATCTAAAGAAATGACCAAAGCAAGACACTTTTATGTTTTTGAGACAAGGAACAACACATTTGTGAAGAAATGACAGGATATAGGAAGCTCTTTTGTAAGGGAATAATTCTAGAGATTTTCCTTTAAAGACATAAGAAAGGAGTATAAAAGGCAGTGGAAAGTAAAAGTTCATCCACAGAGTTTCTAAGCTGCCCAAATTCCCAATCTCAAGTGGTTGTGGTTGTGGTTGTTTTGCTGCCCTTGACTCAGAGGACACTTCTCCCAAAACAGTCTCTATGGCTTGATATGTGTAGGGAAAGACAGGTCATATGGCCTTTTCTGAAGGTGCAGTTCTTTAAGTGACTGCAACTTGAAATAGCCAATTTATTGATACAGCACATGTATGTTTTTGTTTTTTGTTTTGTTTTGTTTGTTTATTTGTTTTTTGCAAACAGAAAAGTTTATTTGCAAAGGGACCAGGTGAGCAGGGAAGGGAGGCAAGGAGAAGAACCTCCGGAGAGAAAACCGGGAGGTGGGGTGCCTCTCGAAAGAGGAGGGAGAGAAAGACACCCACTTGTATGTTTTTATATAGCACACACCTAATTACTTTAGGGACCAGACAGAGGTAGACAAAAATGGATATTAAATTAGAAAACGAAATCTTAAAGGGTGAGAAAGGATTGACCTTGGCTTCTGCATTCTATAGAATATACCAAATGAACTCAACAAACTTGAGAGAAACTTCAACCAATGCCTTATTTGATGTAAATCTTTCCTGCTGTCATAGTCTTCTGTCTGTGCTGCAGAACTGAGTCCAAATTATCCAGACATTTTTAATTTATCACTCCTGACCCATTATCCTGAAAAGTGCCTGGCATTTAAGCAGAAAACACTAAAGCTGTATAAAGTAAATGTATAATGGGGCTGGCACAGTAGTCTGGTGGCCGAAGTCCTCACCTTACATGCATCGAGATCCCATATGGGCACCAGTTTGCATCCTGGCTGCTCCACTTCCCATCCAGCTCCCTGTTTGTGGCCATGGAAACCAGTAGAGGACGGCCCAAAGCTTTGGGACCCTGAACCCATGTGGGAGACCCAGAAGAAGCTCCTGGCTCCTGGCTTCAGATGGGCTTAGCTCTGGGTATTGCAGCCACTTGGGGAGTGAATCAGAAGAGGGAAGATCTTTCTCTGTCTCTCCTTTTCTCTGTAAATCTGACTTTCCAGTAAAAAAAATTTTTTTAATCTTTTTTAAAAGATAAATATATAATAATGAAGATGTGGTGTCTGATTGTGGGAAATAAAGGAAAAAAGATTATTCATAAATGATTCCCTTTGGGACATAATATACTACAAATATAGAAATGTTATGTTATTTTTTCACCTATCTGTTTCTCTATATAATAGCACACAGTGCATATTCTTTTATGTTTGGGTTCTTTTTTACAACTTAATTTTGTGAAATTGAGTTATTATTATCATATTATTGTGTGTCACTGAATTTATCTGTTTTCATTGTTGCACAAAATTAAATTCTATGAACAATTTACTCACTCATTTGGATAAATGCATATGTGGGTTGTTTCCAGTGTTTTTATTTCTTTGAATAGAGCTATTCTAAATTGTTTCATGGATGCACCTAGGCTGAATCCAGGAGCTGTGAGTTCAGCCCATCTCCCGTCTGTTGTCAGTGTTAAATTGCCAGTGCTGCACCACACAGTGTCTGTACCTGTAGAAGTTGGAAATGGGAACCAGGGCCAGAATGAGTATTTCCATCATTTTGATTTTCTTACACCCTTGGTTTCCTGTTTTGCTTGTATTTTTGGTTGTTGTTTGTTTCTTAGATTTGTAGTACTCAATTTGAGATTTATTTCATTGTGTATTCCATTCATCAGAGTGCAATTTATCCTTTTTGTATGTGTTTGAATATTGTCATTTGATGCTTTCCAAAAGAATCTCCAGTTTTGTGCATGTTCACCCTTATCACCACTTTATCCTCCTCTATACTAAACCTTCTTCTATACTGAACCAAATGGGATTTTAATCACAGATTTTTAAATTTTATAGCAACATCAATACTAATACCCTGATAGTTTTACTTGTTTCTTTAATAATTTGGTGTGATATAATCTTAGGTTCCAAATTGTACTCCTTATGAATATTAAAAAATCTTGCTGTAAGGTCACACAGTATCCAGTGTTGTTGCTCAGGCCTTAGTAATGTCAGTCTATTTTTGACTTACAAACAAACAAATATTTGTTCATTTATTTCATTAAACTTCTTGTTTTAAGAAGAGAAGGGTTGGGCCCGGCGTGGTGGCGCAAGTGGTTAAAGGTCCTCGCCTTGCACGCCCGGGATCCCATATGGGCGCCAGTTCTAATCCCGGCAGCCCCGCTTCCCTTCCAGCTTCCTGCCTGTGGCCCGGGAAAGCAGTTGAGGACGGCCCAAAGCTTTGGGACCCTGCACCCGCGTGGGAGACCCGGAAGAGGCTCCTGGCTTCGGATCGGCATAGTATCGGCCCGTTGCGCTCACTTGGGGAGTGAATCATCGGACGGAAGATCTTCCTGTCTCTCCTCTCTGTATATCTGCCTTTCCAATGAAAAAATAATAAAAATAAATCTTAAAAAAAAAAAAAAAAAAGAAGAGAAGGGTTATTCCAGAATGAATTTAAACAGTCCTTTTTCTTCTTATT